GAAGAGCTTCTATGCAAGTGCCAAACTTCGAGATGAGGTACTCATTAAGCATGTTGATGATTGGGACCCACATTGGTTTTGCAAGCGCCTAAAGGGTTCAGAACACTAATAATTAGTGATAGTACAAAAATATTTATTCATTTACCAATATACATAAATATTTTCAACTTCACATATACATTAAAAATCAATGGATTGATTAATATTAATTGTTTGCACGTATGTTATTAGAAACTGATTTTAAAAAATAGATATTTATAGACTATGACTACGGATGGGCTCATCCTGTCTGCTTTATTGTTTTGATATTTTATTAGAAAAAACAAAACTATTCCTTTATATTATATTCCCAGTTTTAATATAGCAATTGCTGAGTCTATGATATAAATATGCATTTTTTATAATAGTTCACAATCTGCAAAATATACAGATATGGAGCAAAAAAACACGACATAAAATATACATCTTGTCACATATGTAATACCATTAAGACAAAATAGTGTGAAGAAAATTAAATTATATCCACATTAATTTAAAAATATTATTAAATATATTTTGATAGACCTATTTGCTTTATTAGATTTAGATACTATAAACAATTATAAATAAAAAAATCTTTTATGATCGGTTAATTGGTTCAAGTAGCGAATCAGTTCATACATCCATTTTTAAGTTTCGTCTTGTGTTGATTTCAACTATTTAATTAGTTATTTAGAGATATCTCGATGAAATACAATCCTTGAAGAATCTTTGCATATTATACCTTTATTAGGTAACATTAACTCCTTGAGGTTATTAAAGCTCGATTTAAATAGGATGACTATTCTCAGCTTCCAAAGAGCAATATGAAACATAGTTTTCGTTTTATCTGGCTGGTGGCAGATATGTTATTGATTATTGTGACAGATGCCTATTTTGATCACTTCTTCAGTAATACACCAGAAGCAATTAAGAACAACTATCCATTTTGAGACATATCTTTTATTCTACCATAGCTTATTAGTAACAATGTGGTAAATTCTTCCACATATATGTACAAGATATACTATGTAAGTGTAAGTGATAGCAATATGCTATATGGTAAGCAAACATATTAAGTTTTTGTAAAACTATCTATATAATATATTGTATAGTTATAATATATTAAGTTGTCTGTCGCAACTTAATATGAGTTAAGCCCTTTAAATTTAGTCTTCACTACTTAAGTACTCAGCCAGGATTTATAGTGTTAATGAGACACAGCTTAAGTCAGCACGTACATTAAATTCTTCTAGACCAACAATCATTAATGACATACTTAAACCTCTAATATGCCACACCTAATGATTGCTCATATCATACCGTTGGTACCTATTTTATAGAACCAACACCTCATCCATGTGCATATACCATTTATCTATATAACAAAGTGTACTAAAGTATTAAAAGAATTTAGAGAGTGTATCTTTGTTTAATTCCTTTTATTTATATGATTCAAATTACGTTTTGCATGCAGAAGAATATTCTGATTTACTTTGTATTAATCCTTCCATTGCTTTAAAGCAACTCTAGAATGGTTGAAATCTCCATATCACCTTAAAGCGGATAAAAGTCTTAAAATATATTTGCAAGATTTCAAAGAATTTTACTTTTGTTATTATTGTTAATTTTTTCCTAATCACTGAAAGTAAGAGTTTACCTAAAGAGATTATATAAGACTGTATTTCCAAATATATAATATAATATCGCAGTGATATAGTTTTACACCCAGAAGTGTGCACAAGGGTTAAGCCGATTAAATGTCTATAGTAAGAAGAAGTGAGTAAACTATTTTTCTTACAAATTGCTTGGAAATGAATTTGGTGCAGATTTGCATGATTAAAAAAATGTTTACTTAAGCTATGAGATACTTTCTAAAGACTTTGCCGACAAATATTTTTTAAATGATGTGCAAAATATTCTTAGAAGTCTTTATGCTTCTTTGAGTTGTTTATTTATGTAGAATCGCAAAATGAGATATGATAGTAAACTATTCAAATAACTCAGGAGCTACTATAATAATATAATAAGGTGACTGATATTGATTTAGTTCAGAAGTTGATTACCGAAGACATTACTCGCGTTTATACGAACTCCATTTTCATGAAATGTATCATAACTGGTGACGAGATATGGACTTATTTTGTACTCGTGGAGTATACTCTTTCGTATACTTTCTATTTTTCAAACGCAAGAATTTTGCTCATTTGCAATGTAATTAATGCAAGAGTGAGTACAATTACTAGGAAATCGATTATAATGACCTCTAGCCCCCTTGATTTCAAAATCGCTTTGTTTGTTATTAATAATTCGTAAATATTTTTGTCTTTTGTGCATCGCACATTTATATTAAATTCTTAGGCGATGCCCATCAATCCCCTGAATTTGCAAAAGCCTAGGTCAGTGGCCTAGTCAATAATCCGTTCTTGCATAAGTCACTATAGCATTTGAATTTTTAGTTACTATAATTATCTATTAACAATTTAGATAAATTCAAACTATCAAAGTTTACAAAGAGTTCCTGCCTCTACAATGTGTATTCATCTTGTTGGAGCCCCCCTCCCCATGGTATATTTTATGTTAGACTAAAGTTCAGGTTTTAACCTTGCTATGATGATTTCTTTTCTGACGAATTCATCAGCTTGTTCATTTCCCTGGAAATAATTGATTTTTGATTTTTAATAAATCAATATATTTAGCTGATTCACAAAGTCAGTCATCCCTGAAGATGATTTTTTAAAAAAATATTGAATCTTAATCTTTTTCAAGCACACTTTTGAAATGATTACTTTCTTATATTCAAATAAATTATAATAACACTGGATCATAGTGAACATGTAATTTTAAATTAAAACATAATTTTTTTGAAATGGAATATATCTATTTTCATATATAACATTACATATTTTTGTTGACTTGCAAAATTTCACTCATTATTTTCGTTATCAAAATTCTTAGTTACTAAAACAACAGAAATAATTTTACTTCATTATGGATAATGAACATGTAAGTTTTATATAAGATATTTAAGGGACGTAATAGATTTATCAATTATAAGTTTAGATTGTCTACCAACAGATATGTATGCCAGTCGATTCAGTTGAAGAGCTTTTTAATTGTTCTCCTACTAAAAGGACTAAGAATAGATTGCCATTGGTTGGTGGAAATAAGATGGCTGGGAAATATCGACGCACACATCAACCCTTCCAAAAGCAATTCCGAAAAGATATAGAAACGATTCATGAGAAATTATGTCAAGATATGAGAATACCACGCATTGCTTTTGATCCTAAATATAAGAACTGCTCCGTATTGGATGGGTTTATAGAATTTACGGATAGATTTAAGTCTTTAGTATTTGAGGAGGATTTCGAAGATGAAAATCGTTTATGCATTTACGAATTTCAAAGCCAACTTGATTTTTTATTAAAAAAGGCTTTCAAAAAGAGAAGTGGCGAGTTTGTACGAGAAGTTCAAAGAAGGAATTACATAACTAACTGCACACTGTATGTTCTAACAGTACCGCCATTAATTGGGGCCTTGTGGTGGTGTTTTTTTAAATAAAACAAAATTGAATACGTCTGCTATGAAACACTTAAAAATTCAATACCTTCACATCATGGAATGTAATTACAACCTAACGTTTATTCCATTAAGATGCGTAATTTTCACATAGTGATTAAGATGTATCCCAATGTTAATATCAATCATTGGAGCAATTTAAAGATACCAATAATATTACTTGCTTTTAAAGCCCTATTGCAAATCGCGTAAGTATGATTAAATTCGATATCAGAAAAATATCTATATTAATAAAAGATTCTTCAAGAGTGTATTGTGCCCGTCTAGTTACTAGTTACTAAAACCAAATACACTTACTGGAGACTTGGTATATATTGGGTAGTATTATTTTACTTGAAATAATTCACTTCTTTTCATTTTTCTATTCTTAGAATCCTAGACTCGGATTCCAGATTGGACAAAAGTATGTCCTGTAAGTACAAATTTGTTTATCCTTTTTTCCTTCTTTTTGAGACTAAATTCTTTAGTAATCTACAGTTTTATCCGCTAGCCATCAATTGTCTTGATGAAATAAGTGATGGTTAAAACTAAATAAAACTAATGGATCAAACTTAATGTCTGTATATCTTTAAGAAACTATCAAATAAATTACTTAAATGAACCAGAAAACCGGAATCTGTTCTAGAGTGTTAATTTGATTATTTTTTCCTCCTCTTTAAAATCGTTTGAATACTTTAATAATCTATTGGGAAGTGAATATAGAAAATCAGTGTGGAGCTATTTTGTTCAAACCTTTTAAATAAATTATTTAAATGAACTAAAGAACTTAAGTTTATCTAGTAAGTATAAATTTGATTTTTTTTTGTTATTGAAAATATTTAAAAGCTTTCATATTCTTTAGTTAAATGCCTATGGGATCCTTTACCCATGTTTTGTGTTCCATGTGTGAATATCTGCTAAAAACTACATATTATAAACATTTATTTTATGAACAAACTTGTTGTATAAACACTTGAATATGCATGGATATATTATTACAGAAAATATCACATACATATCAAAAAATATATTCCAAAAATAATTCCATAACATGAAGTAAACTTTTTCTATACATAAATAGAAACAAATAACCTTTCCACTTAACTTCTTTTTAACTAAGAATAAAAATAATATATATTACAAAAACTTCTTCTAGTACTTCTTACTCTGTTAAATACTAATTATCTCTTGAATTATCTCTGCGGAAAGAAAAATCAGTAAAACTTCAAAACAAAACCAGAGCGAGGACTGTAAGTCGAGAATTGTAGTGAAATTTCTTGTCTTACTAAAAAACATTGAGAATCATAAGGTCTCTCTCTGTTAACTTCCTGAATACAGAAATATCGAAGGGAAAACAAGCAAAAGACATGATCAAAAAAGGCTCCGAAATGGACATAAAATCACCGGGAACTCTATACAAACTTTGATGAATGAAACGTTGTGGAACATAGATGCACTTATTATTGTGGTAACAAATAAATTATAAGCTAATCACATGGAGTGTGTTATCGGTACAGCCCTATAGTTTAGATCAAGGCTGTTCAAAGAATAGTACACATATTACACTATACTATACTACTAGCATTATACTAAATTTGATATTATATTTTATGTATATAAAGTATATGGTATACTGAATAAACTCATATTCTATCACTCACCAACACCTGTGCGGCTTCTTTGATTTGTTTATCCATTCAAAAATTTCACAACCCTATTTTTAAGCATTAACTCACCATCATATAAACCACGACGTAATGAAGGAGTATTGCTTACTTTCTCAGAATTTTATTAATTTATCTTTATTTTCCCAAACAAATTTAAAAAAAAATCCTTTTTATTTTTCACATTATTAACACTTTATACTGTCTTCAGCTTCAATTCTTTGATTTTTCCTATACAAACTGTTGACAATGAAACAAGGCAATAAATCAAAACACCTACAAATATCATACAAATAATAAATAGCTTAGAAGAAGAATGAAAAGAGTTTGAAGGAATTATTGAGCATAAAAAATTTGAGCAATAAATTCACTTTTTATAGGTACACCTTGAAAAAGGATATATTGCACTGACAATAGGACCCTTTGCTAAAGGTATTATTTGCTAACAAACATACGTAATGACGTTAAGATTTCTTTACTAATCTTAACATTTCGCTTTATAAGATATTTTTTTTTATTTTATAAAACTGCAATTTTATTTTGTAGAAGGGGGAATTTCTGACATTTTACTTCTTCAAGCGTGAACCTATTTTAGGGTTAAAAGATGTACATTCCTTTTTGTCTGCCATTATGTATAGTTCCAATAAAAAAACTGGTACAACAATAGCCGTTAAAGTTACCGCAACGAAATTTTATACGAATTTATCACCTACAATAGTCGATCGTAAGTAATCTTTTTATGTCCGCTACTTAAGGTTGAGACATGCTGCATGGGGCAACCCTTACTTCTTTTATCCTTAACAATTTTTTTGAACTATCACAGTGATATCCTTTATATTGCTTTTTTTATTTATAACTAAAGTGTTAAGGTGTTCTGGTTTTGAAGGAAAGTGTTTTAGAAAAGCTGATTAAGTGGTTTTTTGTTGTAGTGGAAATGAGTATAACATTTTTTTTTTGTGGTGTATAGTATTTTATATATCTTTATAAACTCAATAAAGCTTTATACTAAGATATTAATCTAAATGTTTTTTTATACATACCTTTTGCCATTAGCTTTCATAAGAATAAATTTAAAGTTATATAGAAAATCGTTCCTCTCCGCAAAATAAGTACATGAACACACAAATTCATTAGGACACCTTCTGTCCAATTTTACAACCCCATTTAAGGCTCACCTAAAGCTACAAAATATGCGCCGGGTTTAGTTAACCTAACTATGCCACCTCTTGTAAAGGCATAAAAAATTGCTTAATTTACGTTTAAACATAATCCGGGTAAATACTTTTGAATGGGTTTCTTGCTTATCCTGATGAACCGAACCATTTGTGTTGGCAAACCATTTTATTTTATTTTATTTTTTCTTTTTTGGAGAACAAGTTTCTCTTCCATTTTTCCACAATTTGGTTAATTCCTTACGCATTTAATGTAAAAATTGTGTAATCCTTACAAATATAAACATAAAATTGTGCAGAAAAATTGTTATGATATTGCTTAAATTTATTTTTGTTATCCTGTTAATGTGCCCATCCAATACAAAGTACAAAGGTAACAGTAAAATGTTAAGAGCCTTTTTACTCTGGTAAATAAAGTTTATGGTACGCGTAAAGATTGTATTAAAACGATATAAAATGGCATAAAACTTAGTTAAAGCAGCTTTTAGTAGGTCCTTAATAGAATCTAAATAGTCAGCGTAATAGTTTAACTAATTTATGAAGTGAATGTGCTCTTTACCTAAGTAATACCATATCACTTTTTTTATGAAATCGTTTACTATCGAGGCTTTTTTCTGAAAATCAGTGCAAAATCCAAAAATTACTGTAACCGTTTTAGTAAAACTAAATTAAATCTAAAGTTTTGGTAACATATATACATTTAGTGTAGAGTATGTCCAAAATTTTTACTTTGAAAATGCACTTAAAAGATAATGTTTGTCACGTCTGTAATAGATCCAGTACTGCACTCACCGAAAATGGCTACAGCGCTTCTTTT